CAGTTGCAATAATAAAAGAATATTTCATGCATTACAACATATAAAATACTGCTTTCTTGTAGATGTTTGGTTCATTTAAAAAAGAACCGTTTGGCGGTACCATGGGAAATGGCACGATTGGTTCAAAAGTTCAATTTCTGCCTGGGTAGGTTGGATAGGTTATGTCATCTAGCGGGGTCCGCTTGAGCCACACAAGCACAAATTTATTGCAGAAACATTGCGCATTCTACTTCAGGTTTGAATGTGTTGCAGTGACATATATACAAATGAGTTGCCTTTTTAATAATTATTTTCCTCAGAAACACTAGGCAAATACAAACGTGTACGAGGTTGTGCAAAGCAACGCAGCATGTTTACACCCACGGTCCAGTAACCTTAGATTCTTACAACCCTCTGCTTATGTTGGTAGCCACGCAGTAAAGTTTGGCAACGTTGGGCAAGGCAACGGCTACGTCAGAGAAACCTATATACAGATGTTGAGACTTTAAGTATGCTAATGCCTCGCGGACTACTAAAATGTGATTTTATTTCAAAATAATTTTCTTGGCACAAAAGTGGCACTATGAGGTTTCTGGATCGCTATTAACGACAACTTAATATTTGCCTTTAGCGTACGTTTAAGAAAGCTGGCCTGACCCCTTATAGTGAGGTTATGTCTGGAACATTCAAAGGCTGCCATCTTCGGTATAGATATCTGGTAGGAATGTGCTATTTATTTGCATCATATGCAACCATACTTTCCTGCCACATTAGTATATATTTGTAATTTTTGTTACTAGCCAATTTGATATGTTCCATCATTTATTTGAAAAACACTGAAAGGCCCCTAGTCTGGCATTAAATAAGAGGGAAAATCACCACTCATGAACAGAGTTTATTTATACAATGGAGAAGATATCCTCATGACAAAAACAAACATGAATCAGGATATTCAGTATTCAGGGTCGTTATGCAAGTAATCCACTTCAATATGGGGTGAGTAATCCAACATCAATCGATAAAGCATTCTGCTAAGACAGGGGTCTGAAATACGCGGCCCACGTGTTGCATGCGGCCTGCGAATCTTTCGCTAGCAGCCTGGCCTGCACATGACTTTCTTTGTACTTTTTTTTAACTGTGTTCATAACAAACACAGACATGACTGGTCTCAAGCATTTTTTTTTTTTCATGAGGAACCTCATCTGGTCACTGTGTGTTGAATCCTAACTGTGGAATCGACTCTACATTTTTAAATCTGCATCCAGATATCGTTCATGCAAGAGATCAGTATCACTGTGTTTCAAGAAATATGTCAAATCACCTTCGGAAATGGCCCATATGTGTGATATGAGGAAAGCTTTCTGTCAAATGGCAATGTTAGCTGATGTTTCATTAAAATTCTCCGCCTTCCTCATATTGGCCCATTGAGAGACTAAATTTCGTCACTGCAACCTGCTAGCTAAAGTGAGTTTGAGATACTTGTGTTAAAAGGCCAGTAAACAACCCAAGGTCGAAAAAGAAATATGCACACTTTTGCAATGTGAACATGCTGCCACAAGAATTTTGTGAATTCGTGCTATAATAGGACAGTTCTAGGGGTTCGAACATTCGTTTCAGCTATTTTCGAATTGTCACGGGCCCTCTCCACCCTTCTCCACCACAGGGAGAAAGGCATACCTCTGCGTGACTTTGCCCACTTCGTCGATATGCCATTGGCACACAGAGCCAACGACTGAGCAGGGCTCCCCCCTCATGAGCACGTGTCATAGTGGCACCTATGACATGTGCTCATGAGAGAGTCTCGCTACTTTACCCTTAGCGGTAAAGCAGCGAGACTCCTGTATTTCGAAGGCTTTCGTTCTGTCAATACCGCTTCTCCTGGTAGTCTCGGGCTCCACAAAACTGCAGAGGGCAGCACAGAAAAATGAAAATGCAGACTGCGTGGCAGAAAGCGCATCTCCACAGGCCCAAGGCACTGTTTCGTAGAGCAAAGAATCGATCGACGAAGTTGTCCATGGGCAAGTCTGTGACACTGTTCGTATGACAAGGATTGGTCATGGGCAGGAATTGTTTTCTGAAATGTAGGGCCTGCGCAGTGCTCTGATATTCGGAAGATGTGATCGCTGTAGTCTACTGTACGAATTGGTCAGCTTGTTTGGGGGGCAAGGGGGAATTGTAAAAAGAAGTCTGATCCTGTTTACTAGCCCTTTCATATGTCTATGCTCTAATTATCAGACAGGATAAATATCTGTGGTAACAAGATGTACAATATTTAGGACAGACCAATTTTATGATGCAAAAAGATAGTTGTACTGGATACACTGAAAAATATTTGTCAAGTATGGAAAACCATTTATTGCATTCATTTATGCATCCCAGTATTCGTAATTTTATCCCTGAGAGCACGAAGGGAGTGCCAATAACAACTAAAGAACTTTCTGGTATGCTCAAACACTTGTTTGTAGAATTTTTCTTGTTGATAATGAAGCATTAAGCTTATTGAAGTGCAGTATCTCAATGGGCCAGTAAACAAGCTCGCTCTTTTTTTTTTACACCTTTCAAACAAGTGTGATTATTATTCTTGCAGAAGGCCACGGCAATCACATTTTATGAATATCGCAGTGCTGCACTGTGATTTTATCGTTTTCTTTTTTATGTGCTGCCATGTTCGTAGACCTGAGACTATTGACACAGGTGCTATTGCCAAAATGAAAGCCTGAGTGGTTGAGGCACCCCGCGGGTTTACCACTAGAGGAAGAGTGCATGCAACATGGCGTTTTTGTTTACCTCGCTACATGTTCGCACCCCTTGAACTGTGCTTCCTCACTACGCCACTCCGAAAAGAGTGATACATAGAGGTAGCTTTGTTAGCTTGAAGAGGTAGCGTGAACCTTGTCAAAAATCCAGCCATGTCAACATTGGGGGAAAAAAAATATGCTCGTCTGTTTCGGAAAAAACTTTGTTAAGTCAAGTTTGATTAGATATGTTAATTTAGGTTGATGACATCATTGAAACCTATAGACAGCTGCCAGAGAATGGTAATTTTTTTGTTGCATCAGAAACTTCATAAAATTGCGTTTTATTGCATCAAGCTTTAACTGTACTCAATTGTTTGACAAATAAGTAATATCAGCCTTCTAGGAACAAATGAGATGTAAATACTCATGACAGTATGAGCATAAGAGCTGGAAAATTTAAAGAACCTTTGACTCCAAAATTACAGACTTCAGATGTTTGTGTTGTTTGATTGTCCTTCTACATACATAGGCACTTGTGACCATGTATTAGAGGCAGACATTGCCTCTAATATATTTTAATTTGGTTTTAAATTAAGTGCCACTGCTCATCTAAGCTGGCAGCACCTTATGACATTGCCACTAGTATGATGTAGGTCGGTGACATGGAGTGATATGATGTCTTAGGAGTAAAGAGAGGCATTGTTGACATCACAGGCAAGTTTGCAGGGTGCTCATGCGGTGACTGGCGCTCGACCAGGGCTATTTTCTCATATGCCTTGCTTTGTTGTCAGGCTGGTATCAAGGTTGTCCTGGCTGCTAACACCAGTGGCTTTAGAAGTAGCATAGCAAGGAATTTTCCTTCTTTTTTTTCCCCTTGTTTCAGAGGGGGCACTCTGCTTTACAGGTTTGGCGTCGTGTACTACATGATGCCTAACAGACAAAAAATAAGTGTTTCACGCTCCCTGTAATGGCATCAGATGGTGCTGACTGACACTCCCATATTTAAATGCTCATATCATAAATACCCTATAAAGTGGACAAGGGGATAACCGTCACCGTAGCTGAGTGGCGTTATTGGTGTTATTTGAAGGTGTTATTGTTATAAAGATGTTATTGGTGTTATTTGAGCATCAATGGTGTTATTTGAAGGTGTCAGGTTCGGATGCTGCCAGTGGCATGTTATCATTTTGTCCACTTTTCTTTCTTCACATATACATTACAATTACTTCTAATAACATTTCCTATATTTTCCCTGGCATTGTTGTCTGCTAGCTTTCATTGATAAAGCTACTAATTAAAGCATAAAAATCTTAAACAAAAATGTGACTGTCAAGTTACTTTAAAGGGGCCCTGCAACATTTCTTAAGCAGCCATAAAATAAATTCAGTAAGTGAGCTTATTGCCTCAAGAATTGATTGCTGCAAAAGTTTTTAGAATCCGTCTAGTACGAGTGGAGTTAGAGATTTGTCGCACGCTGCAACTGCTTTCTTTCCGTTCTCGTCCTGACAAAAGGGCAGGGAGGGATGGTACGGGGAAAGAAGGTACGTCACGCGCGTCTTGACCTTGAGCACCCTTTTTTTTTTTTCTTCGATCATGCGGCATTTCAGTGCTACAGTGCACACATGCACAGACAGTTTGCAGCCTCTCATAGCGGTCCCAGTAACACTCGAGTGCGCCATACTCAAATCGGCCAATGGCATAGTACTTGTGCCTTTGATGCACCGATTTTCAAGTATATAGCATTATTTGGCGAGAGAAGAGAAAGTTATTTTAGCTGACTGAGAATTTATTACTGCACTGTAATATTTGGCCTGCATGTTCTCAAGAGCCTTGGTTACTGATCTGCACCATTTTCTGACCTCGCTCGAAAAGTGTTGCAGGGCCTCTTCAACAGAGGATTAGGATGATGTTCTACTTACTTACGTGGCCAGTAAATCTTTCATGTCATAGCATACATGCTCCACTGTTCAGTCGTTATCATAATCTTAATAGGTTGACATTTTAAGCTTCTTGTTAATGGAATGAAAGGACTATGCAGCCGCATCACATTAACCATTGGGCTTAATTTTGCAGTTGAATTGTCACTATTAAACTGGCACTCTTATGCCTTACTACCTGGCCCTTATGCCATTTAACTATGCATCATTCATTGTCTGTTCAATTTGTAGGCCCTTTTATTCCCTTCTGTGCTGTATGTCATGTGTGCGAGTTATGACAGGGTAGTCTTGTTTTAGTCACGGACCAAGTATATTGAAATAAGTTTTTGAATTGTCTTGCTCTCAGCGACCAGCTTTTCAACGCCTGGTGGTTCTTTTCGCTTGCCACCTGTACCTCTGCATGTGAGTATTGATTTGAGTATTGCAAGAGAGTATTTAAGTGACGTACAACTTTCATTCTTTCAGACACCGGGTAATAGCTATAGCTTCATATATTTGTGTCTACACCTGCCTTAAATAATTGAACGATGTTGCTTGCATAAATTGAGCATGTGCATTGCAGATGCTTACTCTTGTATAATTCCAAGTTAGATTAAAAGGTTAAATGAACAAAAATTGGTGTACTACAGTTGAAATAGTATGTATTGAAGCAGGGCACTGTGTCGTCGACACAGCAGAATAATAAAATAGTGGTCACTCTTGTGATGACTGATGACTTTTGTGATTGCTCTTGCAATGACATCAGTAGAAGTGCTCTGCAATCTTTGAATATGCCTAGTCCACAAATTTTGATTATGCAGGGCAAAACTTTCTGCATTGTCCAAGTACAATAATCATATATAATATAATTAAAACTTTAACTAGCTTAATTAAATCCAATATACCTCTAATGCCATGAACAACTAGGATGCATTATAGGTGTAAATCAAGCTGCTTCTGCATTGTTTGAGCTTGTACATTTCCCATTCAGATAAGTGTTTCGGATCACCTGCCTACCTATTGGTTTAAGGTGGCATTTGCATCCTCGTGGCACCCGCTTCACATTTTAGTAATTGTTTGCTTATGCACTGTGCAAATTGTGCTAATTGGATTGAGGTGAATTGTATTGCATTAGAAAGCTTGTGTTCTCCACTTTCTATTGACAACTGGTAATGTTGTCTAGTCTGAAGAATTTTTACATGGCAGTGAAAACAGTGTGAGCAAAAAGCTTTTTGTTGTACAAGCCTTCGTTGTACTGATAGTGCGGCAAAACTGTTCAACTTGACTAAAAGAAATTTGCTAAGCCTCTTAATGAGGTGTTATGCAAGATTTATGTGAAGACATATTGTCACTAAAGCGGTTATAAATTGATGCAGTCTGCAATAAAGATGAGCAAAACAATAAAAATTTATGAGTAAATAACTTTTGTTTTCTTTGTGGAATAACATTGAATGGGTTTGCAGGCTGCAATTTACCTTATGTCTAAGCGAAATTGTTTTGTGTTCTGATAAACAGTACATTATTACTATCTCAATTTGATAATTGATGGCTTTACTTGGCTGGGAATTACCAGCCGTAAGTTAATTAGAAAATGTGCGGGACTGCAGTGAATTTAGCGCATTTTTCTGCTAGCCAGGTTCATGCAAATTTTCTCTTTTTTTTTACAGGTTAATTCACAAGTACCGAATATTAGCAGAGCCATATAGTGTCGTGTAATTACCTGTACTCACTAACTTTATGAAGCAGGGCTTGAAACAAAATATTTTTAGAAAAATAAATCTCTCAAACGTTTTTTGATAGTGGCACCATCTATGAAAGAAAGTACCAAGTTGTTTCACATCAGTTCCAACCTTCATCAAAAGTGGCGCCTTTAAACATGACTAAGCCTGTAAAACACCGATTGGTTATTCCTCCAGACTTCTGTGTTTAGCCCAGTGGCTAAATATTATTGCCATGTCCTCAACACACCCTATGTTACTGCTGAAAAAAAGAAAGAAAAAAGGAAGGAAGGAAAGGAAATTTAGTAAAGTGGAAGTTTGGGCCAAGTTGTGACGTGGTGAAATGAAGCACAATAAATGGGACAATAAAATGTGGGGAGATGGGACGAAGGGCTGTTGACAACTGTGAATATTTATTGAGAAACATCGCCACAGCTAGACAATATGCACATGAGCAAAAGGCACTTGACCATCAACAACAAAAAACAACTAACGACAGAGCCAGGCACAAGATAAAACTCCGTGACGATATGAACATGTGGAAAATGAATTCACAAGAATGTCTGAATGATAGGTGACACATAAAACCAGGTAAGAAGAAACATAAGATAGAAAAATTACAAGCTAATAAGCTTGTTTTTTTTTTTATCTTTTCTTTTTACCCGGTTTTAGATAGTAAACTGTGAATCTGCATGCCACTTGTCATGCGGACATCTTTGTGAGTTCATTTTCCACATGTTAGTGTTGTCATGGGGGTGTATCTCTCACCTGGCTCTGTGGTTAGTTTTTTTTTTTCTGATCGTCAAATGTCTACTGCTCATGTGCATATTGTCTAACTGTGGCGATGTTTTTAAATAAATATTCAATTGTCAGTAGCACTTCATCCTGTCTGTCTCACCTTTTGTTGTCTCGTTTATCGCGTTTTATTTCACCCAGAAAGATAGAGTGAAGAAATAATGTTGCACTGTACATCATGAGTGCATAGCCAGAAATTGCTTGGTTGCTCGGTTTTGTACTCAAGTGACTGTAGAAGCATTATTTTGAAGGGCACATGGAACTTTTCTCTCACCTCCTTCTATTTTTGAAGCTGCTCGTACGACAATACTAAGAAACCTGCTTCCCACACCAGGGGACAATCTTTGATGAAGTGATGATGTCATGTGATGACGTCATGATGTTACAAATTTCAGCGATTTGTGATAATTGGGTGACGTCGCCTAATGATATTAGGCCAATATAGTTAGGTTAGGTTTCGCCGAGTAAGTGCCCTTTTATTGCAGTCAAAAACCCACTTGTACAATACTCAAGGGCTGTGAAAATTTCATTGTTATAACTGACGATTGCTATAAATGGACTGTGCAGAAAAAGCAATATAGGAGGACGACAGGCTGCTGTGAGACTATAATATCAGATGAGACATTTCAACAGACCTCAATAAATAGGATGAGAAAGCTGCCGAATTTTCGGACATGCTTGAAAATACGGACTCTTTCACATGACCGCCACAAGCCCCATAGAGATAATGTATAACGTTTTTAGAAGTTTCGTACGCTGAAACTCCTCTCAGTCCCAACTTTTTACTCAAGTTGCATGTCTGGAAGTGAATTAACAGAACGTACTGCCACTCCCTGCCATAGCAGATTTCAAGAGTCAGCTTTGGCGCAATGCCAAAACGCTACATAGTGAAGCGTATTGCTTCAATGCGGGAGACAGGGGGAGGGGGGGGTCGAATTTTTTTGTTGTTTTATTCTTTCTTTTCAAGGATTTCACGTTCCATTACCTTTCAGCATAAACACCCAACAGCCATAATTTATGGTTGTAACAGATAATGTGGCATGCGAGTGTTGCTGTAGGTAGGTTATTGCGTTTTAGAAGGCACACAAAAGTTGGGGTTGGTGCAGCTTCTCATTGTTAAAACTGATATATTGTTAAAACCGGTATCATAAGTGGGTTTGACTTCATTCAGTACTCCTCAATGGATGAGATTTGCACTGCAGGGAATTGGGAGAATTGAGTGAGTGTTTTGGGAAAGAGAGAGAGAGACATTAACGGAGAAAAAAAACACACAAAACAAAGAATCTGCTCAGTGCTTCATTCTTCCGAACTGTGAGAGCAAGGATGGTGCCACCACCTCATCCGAAGTGGTGCACTGGCATTAGTTTAGTAGTTTCACCTGCGAAATGTTGTACTTCTAGTCCTGACTTAGCGGTGTCGTCTGGCATTTCGGAGAGAACTACTCGCAAGGTGGCGACAGTGGAACTGCCATCTTAATTGGAGGGGGTAAAGAGGAACGCTTGTCTGTTTATCTCATGTGTAAGTTTGCTCCATATTATTGTCACACACTCAGCGTCATACTGAAGTTCTCAAATGTAAAAAAACATACGCCAGTCCTCAAAACCCTTGTGTTACTGAAAAATAACTGAAGGAGCTGAGAGCCAAAGAGAACCTTTATAGAAAAACAAAACAGAAGCCTTTTAATTTAAAATTACTCGCGTGTTACAAAAAATTCTGCAATGCCCTTACATTGCATCTGAAAAATGCAAAAAAGATTTATTATGAACGAAAAATTGAAGATGTTGCTTCAAATGGTAAGAAAAAATGGGAAATCGTCAACTCATTCCTGAACAGGAATGAAAGGCATTCTAGCATCACTACTGTTCAGTATAAAAACGTTACGTAATGTACCACGTTAGAAATTGCGGAGGCCTTCAGTAACTACTTTTTTAACTCTGATCTCATCCCCAAAGCTGACTATCATTTTCCCCTTTCTCGTATGTCACAATCGTTCTTCCTATTTCCTACCACATCTTATGAAGTACACGATGTCATTCGTCACCTGAACACAAGTGCTGGCCCTGAAGGTATTCACCCAACCCACGTAAAAATGATTGCTCATGTTGTTTCTGATATTTTGGCATCCATCATCAACCTAGCTTTTAAAACTGGCATCTTTCCTGTTGAATTGAAATGTGGCAGAGTCGTCCCCGTTTTTAAGAAAGGTGACCGTACACTGATATCCAACTATCGACCCATTTGCATAATACCATTTCTCAGTAAAGTATTCGAAAAATTACTCGAAATTCGTCTGACTAAATACCTCAATAAGTTTCAGATTTTATCTCTTTCCCAATTTGGTTTTCGCGAAGCATATTCCACTGACCTCGCTTTGTTATCTTTAAATAAAAGTTGAAGAAAGCAATCGATGGAGGCTACTACGCATGCTCCGTTTTTGTAGATTTCACCAAAGCATTCGATACTATCAACCACCACATTCTTTTTATGAAGCTTGAAGCAATAGACGTAACTGGTCCTGCACTATCATTAACAAAAAAACTACGTTCTCAATAGAAGCCAAGTGGTCAGTCTGTCAGGTCATAATTCTATACCTAAAGTAACAAATCTAGGAGTACCTCAAGGTTCTATTCTCGGCCCACTTCTTTTCATTATTTACATAAATGATTTGCCATCTTGCCTTGCCAGCTCAGAATGCTTATTGTATGCAGACAACACAACAATTGTGAACACTGATAAATGCCTCCAATCTCTGACACAGAAACTAAATCATGACCTTTCAGGCTTGGCTGCGTTGTGTCCATAATAAATTACAAATAAATCCCACCAAAACAAAATTCGTTGTATTTCACTCTCGCCAACGTGAACATAATTATATCCCGCCAATATTCCTAAATCAATGCGCAATTGAAGCAGACAGTGAAGCGACGTTCTTGGGCACTAGACTGGACCGTCATTTGAAATTTCATTCGCATGTTGCATACCTGCAAAAAAAAAATGGCTTACGGCATACGTGTTCTAATTAAGTCCTGTGATATCTTTTCCAAACCCACATTACCTTCATTGTACTATGCTTTTATTCATTCTCATATTAATTACTGTATCACATCTTGGGACAATACCTACAGCAGTCATCTCGTCTCCCTTCAAACTATGCAAAATCACTCTATTAGAATTCTTAGCCACAGTCATTATCGCAGTGATGCTAAAGCACTCCTGCATGCCAACAACATCCTAACAGTCGAGAACACTTTCAAATATAATCTAAGCATACTAGTTTTCAAGCAAATATAAAATCAGCTTCCTTTGTGTATAATCCCTCCATTTAGTCTAGAGAATACAAACTTGACAAGGTTTGCACAAAATCACAATTTTATCTTAGCTATAGTTCATACTAACTATGGCAAACAGCCCACTTCACTGGAATCCATCTCTGGAATACTATACCTTCAGGAACAAAAGCCTCAGAATCAATCGGCATATTCAAATAAGATATGAAGACTTTCCTCTCATTCATTCCATTATCTGGATAGTTTTGGTGACTTCTATTACTCCCGCTCCCTTTCATGCTTTCTCACAACCTAACGTTAACAAAGCATCACATCATCATCTTACATTGCTGATATCAAATGTCACTGTTTAGTTTTCTTTTCTCGTAGTTTATTTTTACTATCTTTCACCATGGTAATTATCTAAAAACTACTTAAAGATTTGAATTACCTCTATTTTTTATGTTGTCTCATTTCAGTTTTTGTTGCTGCTTTCTGCTAATGTTTTTCTGAAGTAGAACTCCTTTTTCGTTTTTACCTATGATGTATTTTATTACCTGTTTTCTGCATGACTGTTTGCTGCATCAATTAATTTTTTCTGTATTCACTACTGTAGGAGGTCCCGATTCAGTCTCTGACTATGGGACCTCCTTCTGTATACACAAATTTTTGTAATTGATTTAATGACAAAATAAAACCATTTCTGATTCTGATTCTGTTTCATCATCAGTATTTTGTTGTTATGACAAAATGTACGAAGTCTGGAAGGATTACATTCACCCAATAGTATTAGGTTGGCTGCACAAGCATTGCCCCATCATTTAAATGAGCCATAAGACCAGCCATAAAGTCTTGTCTTGCTAAAGCAGTGTATGACGCATGCTGCGACATTTATTTGAGCATGCTGCTCTGCAAAGGGGCACTAAAATTCAAAAATGCAACTATACGTTCCCATGTACCCAACATCCAATCAATATAAAAGAAACGCAATGCACTTTGCAATTCTAGTACACCATATCTATGGGCCAAAATCAGCAGTGTAGCCATCTGGGCTCTATTTGGAAACTTGAAAATGTGCATGGCTCTTTTTTTTCTTCCTCGCCTTGACTTTTGTAAGGCTCATGATCCTGTAGCTGCGGCCTGCTAGCTGATGCAAGTTTGAGACCCTGATATGGGTGTGCCTTTTCCTTTACATATAGAGCTACAAGGCATTCTGTTTGTGATTATGAAGAGTGATATTTGAGAAACCATTAATGTAACTTACAGGCCTCCAAAGAACTTTTGAAGCGCAGAATGTCTGAAATGGCCCATCACCTGGAGGAAAGAGACACTCTTATAGCACAGCTTCGAGTCAGCAAAGGGAAGCTCTCAACCCGTGTGACCCAGCTGGAGCAACTTCTGAGAGGCCTCTCGCGGAAGGTGTCATCCAGAAATGAAACGTATGTCCTAATTTGACACTTTAGCTTGCTTGTGACCTGGTTACATATCTGTTTATTATGAAAGACTGCTTTGCATTTGCCATGTTTGTGTTGTGTGTGGAGGTTTGACACTTTAGCTTGCTTCTGACCTGGTTATATATCTGTTTATTATGAAAGACTGCTTTGCATTTGCCATGTTTGTGTTGTGTGTGGAGTTTTACAGTAATTAGGGTTGTTTGTAATGAAACTCCTTGATTGAATATAAACTAAGAGCAACTACATTCAAATACCCCTGGCTTGACTCATGGGCTTCATTGGTTTTCGCTTTGGTTTGTTTGCTTTTTTATATATATATGCATTCGCTATTCGAAATAAATGCCTAGTTTCAGTTAAGCACTTGAATCGTGGCTTTCCTTCTTTCTTGCTGTCCAGGTGTAGTTTTGTACTTCCTACGAAGATGTATCTTTACCAAATAGCCTAATCCATGCATTAGGAAAACATTGTTTCAGTAAACAGAGAAGTGGGCTGTGTGCTTAGTTTAGAACGTATGTCTATAAGAGCTTGTAGACATATGTTGCATTGGTTCAGTCTTTCGGTGAGGCCATTCATCTGCTAGAAGTAAGCGGCGGCAGTTTTATGGTGCTGATACATGTCCACAAAATGTTGTCGACTACTTTGCATGTAGTAGTTGACTACTTTATTAATAGTGCAACATGTTGTCAGAGCCTGAGAAATTGCGTGCAGTGTCCCATGCGTGCCATGTATACCATTTGTTTCTGCGTTACCACAGCCACCCACTTTTTTCACCCACTTTTTTTCTTGATGCTGGTATTGGAAAGAAGCCAATTAGCTACTGGCCAGTGTGGAAAAATAGTCCAAAAATGGAGCCATTTTTTTTACAGGAAAAATGTGCTAAAGGAAAAAAACATCTCAATCTATGAACATACTGTAAGTCTTGTCATGCAAACACTGGGGTTGAGACAGGGCATGGCTCCTGCAAATTTACCATTCTGTAGTTTGCTCCTCTTTAGGTTATCATGGCATAGTATAAAAGTCCACATATGATAATATATGAAACCGGATCCAGTATACAATCTATATCTGCGCCTCTTTACAAGTGCATACAGGATGACGCCCATTAGTCTGTATGTAGAAGTGAATGAACCTCCACTAGCTGACAGGAGAACCATGCTGACGTGCTCTAAAAATTCGTTCACTGCAGAACCACCTCTGTTACCCTATAGCAGGGGTTCTCAAACTTTCTGGCCTTGGGAAACCCCAACGGCTTATTAAGAGTGCTGTAGAGCCCCAGGTTGTGTATGAAGACAACTGTAAGCAGGAGGATTGTGGGTGGGGGGGAGCTGTCTTCCAGGACATTGATTTTTTTTTTCTTTCTAAGTTTTAAAATTCAGTGTAGCTTGAAATAGAAGGCATTTGGGTGAGCTGATAGTGCTTGTTTTGTAGTTTCTACTTTCAGAAACCTCATTGGGCACATCGCACTCTTCTAGCACTCGGAACAAAATATGTGCTATTATTTGTTTCATTGCATTTGTCAGCTTTCGAAAGTATTCCCACAGTTATACGGTACTTTTAACTAAGCATCATTTACATAATACTGTAGTAGGTTTACCTACAAAAAAGTTTTAGTGCATGTGTAGGTGAAAAAAATAATAAAACTTGCGTAGCAATGCCTCCATCTGAAGCAGCATCGCTCCAATGCTTAGAACAGAGAATCATCATCATCATTCTAGCCTTTGTTGGTCCACTGCAAAACAAACGCCTCTCCCAATGATCTCCAGTTCATCCTATTCTGTTCAAGCCTATTCCATTTGGCCCCTGCGAACTTCCTAATTTTATCACTCCATCTAACTCTCTGCCTTCCCTGACTGCGTTTTCCATTTCTTGGTACCCATTCTGTTGCTCTTACTGTCCACTGATTGTCCGTTCTATGCATTATGTGACCAGCCCAGGTCCTTTTTTTTTTTCTTCGCTTGATGCCAGCTAAGAAATTTGGTACTCTCATCTGTTCCCTTACCCATGCTGCCATCGTATGATCTCTCAATGTTATCTTACTATCATTTTACGTTCCATTGCACACTGCGTGGTCCTTAGCTTTTGCTCTCGTTGTTTTAACATATGGGGTAGAAATATTAACAAAACTGGCAGTATGTAGTGGTTGTATACGTAACTTTTCACTGTAATGATAGGGGAGATTTCCTGGTACTATTTGGGAGGGCCTGCTGAATGCACTCCAGCCCATACTTGTTCTTCGGTGAATTTTTTTGTGATTGGGTTCTCTCATGAGTAGTCTTAAGTATACATATTTTGATATACACTCCACTGTAAGGTTTTTGATCTTAATATCTTTGTGTTTTGCCAGGCCATTCCACGTTATCTTTTTCACTATGTTCATTTTGAGGCCTACCTTATAGGGCCAGTAAAAACAGGCTCGGACTTTTTTTTTACACCCCGCAAAGAAGCTCACCAACTCGTACAGTACACAGCGGCAATCACATTTTATGAATATTAAAGCACTGCGCACCCTGCAGACTTTCCATATTGAAAAACGATTCGGCGCCTGTTTTCTTCGCCTGACCAATCCTCCTCGTGAGCGCACAATGATGAAAGCTTGCCCATGCGCAACTTTACATACCAGCTCATCGATTGATCCTTTTCCCTACAAAAGAGCGCCTTGGCCTTGCTGTGATGTAGTTTTGGCCACGCAGTCTGCATTTTCATTTTCCTTTGCTGCCCTCTGTCATTTTGAAGAGCTCAAGAGTGCCGGGAGAAACAGCATTGCCAGAATGAAAGCCTCAGAGATAAAGAGGTGTCTCGCTACTTTACTGCTGGGGGAGGGGGGGGGGGAGTGTGCTCCTTGAACTGCACTTTCTCCTCGCGCTGCTATGACATGTGCTCATGTTGTGGATGCCCTGCTCGTTCATTGGCTGCGCAGAAAATGACGTATCGCTGACATCGTGTCACGTTGCCGAAACAGGCGGAGTCACGACAATAGGCTACGCTTTTCCTCTCCCTGTGGCAGAAGAAAAGGGTGGTGAGGGCATACAAAAACTTGAAACCCACCGAAATGAATGTTATAACCTTTGTAACTTCCTTATTATAGAACGCATTTGCGAAATTTTTGTGCCAGCATGTTCACTTGGCAAAAAGTGCACACATCTCTCTTTATAACAATTTTCGAACGTCGTGGTTGTTTACTAGCCCTTTAATACTTTCTCGGTTTAATTCCTCAATCACTTTTTGTAATTTGTTGCCATCGTTACTGTAGAGCACCATGTTGTCTGCAAATCGTAGATTAAGCCATTCTCCGTCAGCCTTGATTCGCATTTCCTCCTAGTCTAGGTGCTTAAACACTTCCAAGCATGCAACATTGGGGATATAAGTCTCCTTGTTTTACTGCTTTGTTGATTGTAATTATATCACTTTTCTTGGGAAGAATTAAGATAGCTGGGGAGTATTTGTAGATGTTTCAAAGGTATCGAAGTAGGATTTTAATGTGCCTTGCCAATTTCGTGCTTTTAAAAATGCAGATATCTCAACTGAATTGAATGCCTTTTTGTAGTCTATGAAAGTTAAGTAAAGGAGTTTGTTGTATTCAGAAGCTTTTTTCAATACCTGATAAATCAGGTAATTTGAAAGAAAAAAGAAGCATTGAATTGAGAAAATACATGCAACGTAAAAGAACAATAATAAAGCAAGCAAAAGTAGAGTCCTGAGGTTTTTCTTAACGCACATAGAATGGCTTAAAGGGCCAGTCAACAGGCTTCATCTTTTAGATCTGAAGCAGCTTACGTTCGAGCCCAATGCGGCATGACCACCCTTACTGCGCATGCGCGTCCTCTAAGCATTCTTCCTCGTGGCGTTTACACCCCCATTGCGCGTCTGTGCCTCCTCCCCTTCCTCCCCTACACTCCCCCTCTCTCGCCTCACGACGCAGGCAGGCAGCGTCTGCTAGTGAGCTTCTTGGTTGAAAAAACAGACTGCTCGCGCTTGACAACCGTTCACTAGCCACCCTGTATGTATAGGCACTGGATCTTGACCTCCCAAGGTAGTGCCGGTGGGACATTTATCCTCCGCGTTGTTGAATAAAAATTCGCAGCGTGTACGTTAACTAAAAGCAGACTTCGGGTCTCTGTGTCCAATGGGGCTCTTCCACCTTTCATTGCCCACTAGCAGCAATTGGCATGTTTCAGTCCATCACTGGGTGCTTTGCGCCTCCCCAGGTTTTTTTCCTGTGCAATGTCACGATGAGAACCAGCGTCAACGTCTCCGCCAGTGTAAGCGTTAGCGCCCGCTGCTTTGCATCTACAAATAGTTCCCTTTCGCGGGACATGGTGTAATTTTTTTTTACACCCACCAAAGAAGCTCGGCACTTGTAGAGTAGATTGTGGTAATCACGTTTCCCTAATATTACCACACCGCGCGCAGCCTTCATTTCTAAAAGTAATTTCCGCGCTCCTTTCCTACGTCTGACCAATCCTTTCACGTGCAGTGATGCAAAGTCACGGCGACTTGAAGTAGCACGCAGCTCGTCGATTGGTCTAAACCAGTCATGACGATGGGCTACGCCTTCCCCTCCCTGTGAGGGAGAAGGATGGCGAGGCTGCACAAAAATTTGAAACCAGCTGAAACCAATGTTTTACCCCTGTAACTTCCTTAATATAACATGTATTCGCAAAATTCTTGCAGCAGCATGTCCACAAAGCAAAAGGGCACATATTTCTCTTTATAACGATTTTGGTACCTCGTGGTTGTTTACTGGCCCAATAAGGCACAACGCGATTATGATGCACTATCAAGCCACAGCTTAAGCTGCAATTTTTTTAGTTCGTGGTTTCTAATTTTTTTTTATTTTGAAATCTTTATATCTTGCTAAAATAAACATTTGAAAATATGTTTAATTACCTTCATATTGGTATATTTTATGTGGCATTGTAAAAGCTACAGCTGTTGAAAAAATATTCCAAATTGAGACCTAAAAAAAACACCCAATTTTCCTGTGG